CTCAAGAAAAAAAAAAAAAGAAACAGGATATAAAACAAAGGTGGGAGGCTACATGTTTCTTTTTACAGCTAAGCTAGGAAATAATGAGCACTAATGTCAGAAAGATAAAGCAAGTCTGAGGGGCAAAGTAGGCAAAAACAAGTTCTTCTCCCCCCCAAAAAAGATAAAAAGCAGTTAAAATACAGCAGTACTGTATTTTACTGATCCTCTGGCAGAGTATCTTTTCCCTTCTATTTTCATGATGTGTATGAAGTGGGCTCTTGACCTAGATTTCAAAGTATAGGAGACTGATTGCAGTCCGTTAAGTGAGGGGAACTGAGAACCAGAACTGCAAGTGGGGTCCCCAATAGGGCATATAAAAAAATACAATGCAACAGCAGTCTATTAACAAATTCTACTCTGAAGGCTTTCAGTATTTCCTGAATATGCAAAATAGAAATGAGGACGCTAAACCAATAACTCATACAAAGTCTCTCCTTTTCTTTCTTTTTTTTTTTTGAGAGAGGGAATCTTGCTCTGTCACCCAGACTGGAGTGCAGTGGCGTGATCTCAGCTCTGCCTCCCAGGTTCACGCCATTCTCCTGCCTCAGCCTCTCAAGTAGCTGGGACTACAGGCGCCCACCACTACACCCAGCTAATTTATTTTTATTTTTTTAGTAGAGACGGGTTCACCATATTAGCCAGGATGGTGTTGATCTCCTGACCTCGTGATCCGCCCACCTCGGCCTCCCAAAGTGCTGGGATTACAGGCGTGGGCCATTGTGCCCGGCCCATGCCTGGCTAATTTTTGTATTTTTAGTAGAGACAGGGTTTCATCATATTGGTCAGGCTGGTCTCGAACTCCTGACCTCAAATGATCTGCTCGCCTTGGCTTCCCAAAGTGCTAGGATTATAGGCGTGAGCCACTGTGCTGGGCCTCTTCTTTTAGACAGAGTCTCACTCTGTCACCCAGGCTGGAGTGCAGTGGTATGAACACAGGGCTCACTGCAGCCTCAACTTCCCAAGCTCAAGTGAGCCTCCTCCCTCAGCCCAAGTAGCTGGGATTACAGGTGCGTGCCATCATACCTGGCTAATTTTTGCATTTTTTGGTAGTGACAGGGTTTCGCCATGTTGCCCAGAGTGATCTCATACTCTTGAGCTCAATCATTTTACCAACCTCAGCCTCCCAAAGCACTGGAATTGCAGGTGTGAGCCACTGCTCCAAACTGCTTATACGGTTTCTATTAAGGATCAAGTTACAAAGGGTAGAAAATTAAGGTTTGCAGGAAGGAAATTAACCAGATAATCAAGAAAATATTTAAATGCTTAAAATAACAATAGGCGACTAGAAACTTACAGGAGATTCTCTGTATCCTTTATTGTAAACACCTCTTCATCGAGTAGAATTGAACATGTTGCTGAGCAGTAGCTACAGAGCTTTTATAGGTTCTATTAAATGAATAAAAATAATTGTACTTTTCTCTCAATCACATTTGTTGTGTATTAAAAATGGCCAGGTTATATGAAAAGAATAATACATCATCAGCAAGTGGGTTTATTTCAGGAATGCCCTGTTGGTTTAACATTAGAAAATCAATGTAATTCACCAAATTTGCTAAAAGATATATACAATCATACATCATTTACCAACAAGGATAGGTTCTGAGAAATGCATTGTTAGGCCATTTCATTGTTGTGCGAACATCATGGAGTGTACAGTACTGACACAAACCTAGGTTGTATAACCTGTTGCACTTTCTACAAACCTGTACAGCATGTTCCTGTACTGAATACTGTAGGCAGTTGTAACACAATGGTATTTGTGTATCTAAACATAGAAAAGGCTCAGTAAAAATATGGCATTGTAATCTTTTTTTTTTTTTTTTTTTTTTTTTTGAGACAGAGTCTCGCTCTGTCGCCCAGGCTGGAGTGCAGTGGCGGGATCTCGGCTCACTGCAAGCTCCGCCTCCTGGGTTTACGCCATTCTCCTGCCTCAGCCTCCCGAGTAGCTGGGACTACAGGCGCCCGCCACCTCGCCCGGCTAGTTTTTTGTATTTTTTAGTAGAGACGGGTTTTCACCTGGTTAGCCAGGATGGTCTCGATCTCCTGACCTCATGATCCACCCGTCTCGGCTGGCATTGTAATCTTATGGGACCACCATGGTGTGTGCAGTCTGTCATTGATGGAAACGTCATTATGTAGTATGTGACTATATTTCAGAATTGTTGAGAGGGTGAGTTTTAAATGTTCTTGACACAAAGAAATAATAAATCTGGCTGGGTGCAGTGGCTCACACCTGTAATCCCAGCACTTTGGGAGGCTGAGGCAGGTGGATCACCTGAGGTCGAGGGTTCGAGACCAGCCTGACAAGCATGGAGAAACCCTGTCCCTACTGAAAAAAAAAAACAAAATTAGCCAGGCATGGTGGCACATGCCTGTAATCCCAGCTACTCAAGAGGTTGAAATGGAAGAATCACTTGAACCGGGACAGCAGAGGTTGCGGCGAGCTGAGATCACGCCATTGCACTCCAGCCTGAGCAACAAGAGCGAAACTCCGTCTCAAGAAAAACAAAGAAATAATAAATATGTGATGATGAATATGTTAGCCTGATTTGATCATTCTACAATGTATACACTGTACCCCATAAATATATGCAATTATTATCAATTAAAAATAAAATTTTAAGAAAATGGATGAGTAGACTTGTGATATGGAGGACCTTAAAAATCTCGAGATTTGATACACTGAAAAACAGAAAATCATTAAAAATTTGTAAGGAGAGGGAGTGATACAGAAGTGAGGTTTAAGCAAGATTAGCTTAGGTGAACAAGGTATTTTATAGTGGGGAGAAGCTGATATTGAGGAACTGGTTATGAGTTTGTGATGGTATTCCATTTGTGAGATGATGACTATGGCTATGAGATAGTTGAACTGGGAATGAAGGGAAGATAGGTTTCAAAAGAAAAAGTGGTGGGACTGAATACCTGACTAGATATAAAAAGTGAGGTTTGATTCATAGGCTGTCAGCTTTGAGGACTTTTCTTTCCCTATATATTTAATTAGATGTAAGTAGGAAATTTTAAAGAATTGATTTTGCCCTTTCGAGAAGCTCTTCTTTCTCCATTCCTTTCCCCTCTACATACGTAATTTGAGAAAAACTCTGCTGTCCTTTAGGCAGCTCGTTAGCATCTTCCTTTAATCTTTTTCCAAGCAACATAGTATTACCACACATTCGCTGTTTACATGTTAAGAGATGTTCCACCTCAGTAGTAATTAAATAAATGCAAATTAAAACAACCAGTTTTTGTTTTGTTTTGTTTTTTTTTTCAGATAGGATCTCACTCTGGTTGCCCAGGCTGGTATGCAATCATGTGATCACGGCTCGCTGCAGCCTTGACCTCCCAGGTTCAGGTGATCCTCCTACAGAGCTCAGCCTCCCGAGTAGCTGGGACTATAGGTATATACCACCATACCCAGCTACGTTTTAATTTTTTTTTGTAGTGATGGGGTTTCACCATGTTGCTCAGGCTGGTCTCAAACCCTTGGACTCAAGCAGTCCACCTGCCTTGGCCTCCCAAAGTGCTGGGATTACAGGGGTGAGCCACCGTGCCCTGCCCAAGTTTGTTTTTATAATAATAATCAGTGTTGTGAGGGTTTGATGAGACTTGTGTTCTTTTTTGTTTGTTTGTTTTTTTGAGAGGCAGTCTCATGCCCAGGCTGGAGTGTAGTAGTGCCGTCCCAACTCACTGCAACCTCCAGCTCCCGGGTTCAAGTAATTCTCCTGCCTCAGCCTCCCAAGCAACTAGGATTACAGGCATGTACCACCATGCCCAGCTAATTTTTGTATTTTAGTAGAGACAGGATTTTACCATGTTGGACAGACTGGCCTCAAACTCCTGACCTCAATTGATCCGCCCGCCTCAGTCTCCCAAAGTGCTGGGATTACAGGCGTGAGCCACCACGCCCAGCCAGAGGCTCGTGTTCTTTTTTATTTCTGTTAAACTGATGTCCTTCAAGACAGAAAGAAATGTGCAAATATGTAGGAAAAGCCTTTAAAATGTTGAAGCACTTCTAAGAATTTATAGTAAGGAAATAACCGAAGATGCAAAGAGATGATGTTTGTCAAAATGTTTGTTGCAATATTCTCAGTTTTTCACAATTATAACTATATTTAACTGTCTCGGGGTAGCAGTGAATGGTTAAATAGAGACTACACAACCTTCAAAAGTAAAGTTTCCACAAATTTTAATTTTAATGACATAGCGTAAATGCTTAGGATGTGCAGTGGGTTTTCCATATCCACAGATTCTACATTTGTAGATTGATCCAGCAGAGAATTGCAAGCATTTCAAAAATAGTAATATAATATTTTTACAAATACAGCATAACAACTTTTTTTTGAAATGGAGTTTTGCTTTTGTCACCCAGGCTGGAGTGCAGTGGCACAATCTCGGCTCACTGCAACCTCTGCCTTCCAGGTTCAAGTGATTCTCCTGCCTCAGCCTCCCAAGTAGCTGGGATTACAGGTGCCAACCACCACACCTGGCTAGTTTTTGTATTTTTAGTAGAGACGGAGTTTCACCATGTTGGCCAGGCTGGTCTCGAACTCCTGATCTCAGGTGATCCACCCGCCTCGGCCTCCCAAAGTGCTGGGATTACAGGCATGAGCCACCGTACCCGGCTGCATGTCTACTACTCTTGAATTGACATCGCTACTTATGTATCTAAAATGGCAGGGTACAGGTGGTGCCACTATTCTGTCATCAGGATACTTTCCACTAAGGTTAGTGGAACTGCGCAACCATTCATAGCTCAGATTCATCAGTCACAAAAGAAGCCCAGATGATTATGCTGTTCATAAAAAAAAATTTTCTTTAGTATTTTGGTTCTGCTTTAATCTTAATCCCTAGGGTAATAGAAGAGATACTCAAGTTCAGAGAGGCGTGGAAGTTATTTGAGAGAGCAGGTGGGCCCAATTTTTTCCTTATGCCAAGTCATCCTTTTTCCTCAAAAATAACAGCAAGAACGTTGCCGCAGTTTGCCTCCGCAGCATTATATCATGCTGCAGAAACCAGCTCAACTATGCGAAACTACCACCAGGACTGGCAGACACCAGCAGGGATTCCAGAGACCACGCTGCAGAGAGCATACAGAAAGAAAATTAAGAAATCAGGTCAGTTAGCATTCACTCATGAGCAATGGGAAAGTCTCAGCTCATGGTGTCACACCAGAATGCACATGATGTGCAGTCTGATAATGCAACACTTAGATCATAAAGCAAGAGAAGTGAATGTCTGACATCATTGACTGAGGATAGTTCATGAAGAGATAAATAAAAGTAAATATGTTAAATTTACTCTGAGTGTTTCTTAAAGGTTCTCCTATTCTTCCTAACCCCCAGTCTCTTCAGCCTAGTCAGCCCTAAATTTGGTTTTAAACAGTTTTTCATGTAGTGCTTCAACCATGTCCCCAATTCTTTTGAGTCCTCACCCCTTTGACTCATCAGTACTATTCATTCAACAAATATTTTTTGAGAGTATCCTGTTTGCCAGGCTCTGGAAAAACAATCAAAGCCCAAGAAGGGCCAATGGTGTGATCCTAACTACATCCATGTCCTTGTTTTTTCCTCCGTTCCATTTCCCTCAGTTGTATTAAGGATGAAGCTCACTTTTTTGTTTCCTTCTCCTACATTTGCACCTTACACTTTTACTTATTCTTCTATTCCTTTATTTTTAGAATTAGTTCTCATTTTTGGCCTGGCACGGTGGCTCACACCTGTAGTCCCAGCACTGTAGGAGGCTGAGGTGAGTGGATCACGAGGTCAGGAGATCGAGACCATCCTGGCTAACACGGTGAAATCCTGTCTTTACTAAAAATATAAAAAATTAGCCGGGCATGGTGGCGGGCACCTGTAGTCCCAGCTACTTGGGAGGCTGAGGCAGGAGAGTGACTTGAACCCAGGAGACAGAGCTTGCAGTGAGCCAAGATCGCACCACTGCACTCCAACCTGGGTGACAGAGTGAGACTCCATCTCAAAAAAAAAAAAGTTCTCATGTTTCTTCTCCCGGCAGTCCTATCTTTCAAGTTCCTTCAAATCCTAACCCTTAATGGAAAACCTATGTTATGAATATTGTTTTGTAAAGCAAGGCTAATGATCTCTTCTTGGCCAGTTGTGGTGGCTCATACCTATAATCCCAGCCTTTTGGGAGGCTGAAGGGAGAGGATCATTTGAGCCTAGGAGTTCAAGACCAGCCTGGAACATAGCAAGACCCCATCTCTATTTTAAAAAAAAAAAAATTGCCACCCACTAACCTGAAAACAGCAATTCTCCGTGTGGTTTTCAGACTGTGAATGACTGAATAAAGGAGCTAAATTCTGCACACATTTTTTTTTTTTTTTTTTTTTTTTTTTTTTTTTTCCTGAGACAGAGTCTTGCTCTGGTTGCCCAGGCTGGAGTGCAATGGTGCGATCTCGGCTCACCGCAACCCCCGCCTCCCAGGTTCGAGCAATTCTCCTGCCTCAGCTTCCCAAGTAGCTAGGATTACAGGCACCCGACACCACACCTAGCTAATTTTTGTATTTTTGGTAGAGACGGGGTTTCATTATGTTGGTCAGGCTGGTCTCAAACTCCTGACCTAGTGATCCACCCACCTTGGCCTCCCAAAGTGCTGGGATTACAGGCGTGAGCCACCACACCTAGCCATCTGCACATTCTTAATAGTGCTATGCATATAAACAGTTTTGTGAAATCCACAATATATACAATGAGAAAAGTAATCCTTATATGTTAATAATTGACCCACAAACTTCAACTTTTTATCTTTTTTTTTTTTTTTTTTTGAGATGGAGTCTCTCTCTGTCGCCCAGGCTGGAGTGCAATGGCACGATCTTGGCTCACTGCAAGCTCTGCTTCCCGAGTTCACACCATTCTCCTACCTCAGCCTCCTGAATAGCTGGGACTACAGGTGCCTGCCACAAAGCCCAGCTAATTTTTTTTTGTATTTTTAGTAGAGATGGGGTTTCACCATGTTAGCCAGGATGGTCTCGATCTCCTAACCTCATGATCCACCCACCTTTGCCTCCCAAAGTGCTGGGATTACAGGCATGAGCCACCGCACCTGGCCCAACTTTTTATCTTAAATTTCCTTCTGATCCTTATATATCCATACCTGATTTTTATATACCAACCAAGGTTTCTCTGTTTAAATGTAGACACATTTTTAGGTATTCAAGCAGAGTGGTTTATTACCGTTACGGTAAAAGGAATCAAACATTTATTTCTTTGTAGCCACTTGCTAGTATATCCTATACCACTAATATTGATAAATGACTACTATTTATAAGCACAAAGTTTTAATAGCATTTTATTATTTGAAAACTGCACTCTGGGAAAAGATTACTTGTTAAATATTTTAATGCTAAGTCACTGACATGCAGGACTCCGAAGACCTGGTATTAAACTTTTTCCCCTATTATTAACTAATATAATTTCTTTGAAGAAATCTTTCTGGGTAACTATTTGTAAACTATACTACTTAGGATAGACACAATGATCTATGAGATTCCTTTCAACTAGAGTTTTATATATTTCTAAGGTCTCAGAAATAAAACGAAAGTAGAGCAGTTACTTGCATAAGCAAAACAATGTCTTACTGTGCCTTTTTGTTGCTCTCAGAATGTTAGCATATAGACCACTGACATTTTACTTTATTTAGCAATAAAAAGATACTTCTTTGTACTGTTTCTTTTGATGTTTTTCTCTCCAACAGATGCAGCAGCAGCTGGAACCCACAGTTCACCTTGGTGCATTCCTTTATGATGAAGACTTATTGATTCATTATATGAGAAAGGAAAAATGAGCAGAAACTACTGTATGATGTGCAGCTCACACCAGACAGCACCTTTAGGTAGGCACTTAGGTGTGCAAATCTGACGACTTTATGTGTATTTTTTCTTATATGTCATGAGTATGCAAAGTTTGGACTAAGCTATTCAATGTTTTCTGAAAGCAAAAGGCCAACCTGTGGCATGGTTATTACCAAATACTGCAGTTAGGGAGAGTAAACGAATATTATCTCAGGAGAATAGGTCACTTAATGTCCCCTAGGATATATTTAGAAACTTTTTTGTTGTTGTTTTGTTTTGTTGTTTTGAAACTGAGTCTCCCTCTATCGCCCAGGCTAGAGTGCAGTGGCACAATCTTGGCTCACTGCAGCCTCCACCTCCTGGGTTCAAGCAGTTGTGCCTCAGCCTCCCAAGTAGCTGGGATTACAGGCGCCTGCCACTACACCCAGCTAATTTTTTTGTATTTTTAGTAGATACGGGGTTTCACTATGTTGGCCAGGCTGGTCTCGAACTCCTGACCTCAAGTGATCCACCCACGTTGGCCTCCCAAAGTGCTAGGATTACAGGCATGGGCTATCACACCCAGCCTAGAAACTGTTTTTCACAATTTTTTTTTCCTAGTCAAGTAGGGCAGTGAGATGTTTTTCACATCTAGAAACTATTTAATTAAAGGCGCCTCTGCAGATTCAGAAACTAAACAGAGGTGACAATACAAAGGAACTGACTCATACTCTGCGTACTGAACAAAGATTGATAAACCATACACTGATTGATTTAGAATGAGAAATACAATTTCCAAGGAGGCTGAAATGTTCTCCCCATAAAAACATCTACTTGAGCTGGACATGGTGGTATGTACCTATAGTCTCAGCTACTTGGAAGGCTGAGGTGGAAGGACTGCTTAAGACCGGGAGTTCAGGGCTGCAGTGCAGTGTGATTGGGCCTGTGAATAGCCACTGCACTCCAGCCTGGACAACAGGAGACCCAGTCACTTAAAAGAAAAATATCTGGCTGGGCGCAGTGGCTCATGCCTGTAATCCCAGCACTTGGGAGGCCGAGATGGGCAGATCACTTCAGGCCAGGAGCTTGAAACCAGCCTGACCAACATGGTAAAACCCCATCTGTACTAAAAATACAAAAAATAGCAGGGTGTGGCAGCACACATCTGTAATCCCAGCTACTCATGAGGCTGAGGCATGAGAATTGCTTGAACCCAGGAGGTGGAGGGTGCAGTGAGCTGAGATCACACCACTGTACTCCAGCCTGGGTGACAGAGCAAGAGTGTCTAAAAGAAAAAATCTACTTAAGAAATCAGATAGTGATCAGATATTATTGGGTGGGCATGGACACAGAAGACGGAGATAGGTAATTTTGAGAAATCATTCATTCAGGCTATAATTTGACCAAGTGAAGCATCCCAATCCATATTAGAGAACTTCTCTAGTGACAGAAAGTCTTCTGTCTTTGTTCAGACTGGATAGATTTGTCTAGTCTGTTACTTTGGACATATATTTCTCTGCTCACTTACATTCAGGATTATTACATAGAGTGGGCTACCCCTCTGGGTAAATAATCTTGTGCTTATATTACTGATCTTAGATAATATCATTACCAAAGATTAACTACCAATTTGGAATATGTTGCTAATATAAATATATTGTACCAATATTATAATTTGAGATTAAACTTCCCTGATTTATTTAAGATCCTATTTCTCAATAATACTTCTAGTTTCCATTTGAGGTAGTTAAAATTTACAGAATGAAAAGGATTTGGACAATAATAGAAGAAACACTAAAAAGTTATTAATAACTTTGGGAGGCTAAGGTGGGTGGATCACTTGAGGTCAGGAGTTTGAGACCAGCCTGGCCAACGTGGCAAGACCCCATCTCTAATAAAAATACAAAAATTAGCTGGGTGTGGTGTGGCACACGTCTGTAGTCCCAGCTACCTGGGAGGCTAAGGTGGGAAGATTGCTTGAACGTGGGAGGCGTGCAGTGAGCCCCATTCTGGGCAACAAAGTGAGATAACGTCTCAAAAACAAAAGTTAATAACTGTAATATCCTGTTAAAAATATGTATAGAAGAGCTATGTTTGACAGATAAAAATTTAAAGATTAGGATGTGTCTTCCCATAAAAATCTTATTTTTAATTACTGGGTAAACAAGCCAGCCTCCCCATTATAGAGAACTATAATGAATCTGAAACATTTATCACCATGAGGGACTTTCCCCCTCTCTATGACAAGGGGCATGTCTAGCTACAAGACTATGGTGGTGACTGTAACCCAAAGAAGCACCAGTGTTGCAGAGGGTAGAGAAGATGAGGATCCTAGGGAGATAACGACTACACTGCTTACAGCCCAACCCCCAAGAATGACTTCAGAGGCCTACTCACACCTTTTATTCTCTTCTAAGGGATTGGCCTACCTGCTTCCATTTTACTTTTCACCCTCTGTTAGGACCAAGGTTTTTCCCCTTCCTAATCATTATTATTACATAGAACATGATGTAATAAGTCATTGGGTTACCTACATATCAGAAGAAAACCAGACTCAGGCTCTCTCAGATATTTCATGACAGAAACTAGGGTGAGAAGATAGATTAGGAGGCTAGAAATGGTGGCAGGTAAACTTAAGGGGGATAAAAGCAATTTATGGGTGTATGTGAATCTTTCACATCACTCCTCTCTTGCTCTCCAGAATCTATTCCAAGTTGATTAGGGCTGCCACTCAGCATAGCTCCAGAGCCAGTCATACGTTTGGTAGTCTACAGTCTATGCAGCAATACATAGTACTTCCGAGGTTGGTTCTGGGATAAGGTGAGAAAGCCAGATGGTATGGAAGTTATGACACTGTCCCAGGCAGCAACAGGCCATAGGAAGTAGAGGAAGGAAAAAGTCAGAATCTCTAAAGCAGCAGCAAGAAGGAGATGAGGGGCACAGAAATAGAGACGGTCTTCTAAGTAGCTGTTCCCTAAAGTCCTTTTAAATGTCAGACTTAATATTTGTTCTCTCTAATATAAGTCAGAGTGGATGAGTAAAAAATTATCACACAAATTTTTTCTAAATAACTTCTGGATGATTTTCATTAAGGAAAAAAACATGAAATATACTTTATAGATGAAATATAGATGAAAGAATTAGAAGTCCAGAATGCAATTGCTTATACCCAAGCAAAATTTGATGTTCACTCTTCTAATTTTCCGGGATTTATTTCTCATTACTTCTCCCTCATGGAAATGAAATTCATTTATCATCCTATACTCTCTGACGTATCAGGAAAGGTCTTGGTTGACATCAGCTCCAGGCCCAGCATAGTCCTTTATGGGGTACTGTCCAGCTTGTGTGTCCGGAATTGGTGGGTTCTTGGTCTTGCTGACTTCAAGTATGAAGCCACGGACCCTCGCGGTGACTGTTACAGTTCTTAAAGATGGTGTGTCCGGAGTTTCTTCCTTCTGACGTTCGGACATGTTCAGAGTTTCTTCCTTCTGGTGGGTTTCATGGTCTCGCTGGCTTCAGGAATGAAGCTGCAGACCTTCACAGTGAGTGTTATAGCTCTTAAGGTGGCACATCTGGAATTGTTCGTTCCTCCCGTCTGGAGTTGTTTGTCCCTCCCGGTGGGTTTGTGGTCTCACTGTCCTCAGGAGTGAAGCTGCACACTTTGGCAGTGAATGTTACAGCTCATAAAGGCAGTGTGGACCCAAAGAATGTGCAGCAGCAAGATTTATTGCAGAGTGAAAGAACAAAGCTTCCACACCATGGAAAGTGACCCCAGGGTTGCTACTGGCCCAGGTGGCCTGCTTTTATTCCCTTATCTGGCACCAGGCACATCCTGCTGATTGGTCCATTTTAGGGAGAGCCGATTGATACATTTTAGAGAGAGCTGATTGGTCCGTTTTACAGAGAGCTGATTGGTCCATTTTGACAGAGTGCTGATTGGTGATTTACAAACCTTTAGCTAGACACAGAGTGCTGATTGGTACATTGGTGCATTTACAATCCTTTAGCTAGACAGAAAAGCTATCCAAGTCTCCACCAGTGCCAGAAGCCCAGCCAGCTTCACCTCTCACTGGCACTGCCCCCGGGACTTAGCGGCACCCGGGCACTCCAGCAGCCCAGAGGAAGCTCGTCCCCGATCAAGCCCAGCAGGTGCCGGCTGCTGCGCCAAGTGAGGTGCCCGCCAAGCCTGCGCCCACCTAGAACCCGCGCTGGCCCGCGAGCGCCACACGCAGCCCCTACTCACGCCCGCGCATCTACCTCCACGCCTCCCCGCGAGCAGAGGGAGCCGGCTCTGGCCTCAGCCAGCCCCAGAGAGGGGCCCCCACAGCACAGCGCGGGGCTGAAGGGCTTTCTCGAGCGCGGCCAGAGCTGACCCTGAGGCTGAGGAGGCACCAAGAGCAAGTGAGGGCTGCTAGCACATTGTCACCTCGCACTTGCAGACATCAACATTTGGAAAATATTTTCTTCTGCTAGCAACAGCTTTGCCTGCCACCATCCAACGTGACAGCGTGGCTTTATTAAAGTAAAAGAATAAGATATGACATAGGTAGACACTTACGTTCTAGTTTATGATGACAACTGGGATTTCAAAGACAAGCTGTCTGATTTCCTTTACTACTTTACTACTTTCCTTTACTTCCTTTACTACTTTGTTTCTGCAACGCAGATTAAGGAATATCTACAAAACAGAAGCGTATGACTCTTTCTTGTAACACTTGCTATTTTGTCACTATTGCCTGCCTTCTAACCGCTTCTTTTTTTGGTACTATACTAAAATAGTATGTTGATAAGAGCTTTTATAAAGCTGACAAATTTACTTGACCTAGGATATTGCTGTATGGCCATAAGCAAACCACTTAACACCTCTAGGCCTCTAGTTCCTCATTTGTAAATGAGCAAACTAAATGCTATCCAAGGACACATCTTGCTCCAAGTTTTTGTGATCCTAAGTTTCAATGCTTATTTCTAAAACATCACTTCAGTGTAGACTTTTAAAAATTAAATCGTGAGTGTTATTTCTTAGGTTCTTAAATGGTTTTACCAAAATCTGAAATATGATTTCTGGTTGTCATTAGTAGACTTATTAAAACATGTGGCCTGCTAGGCACAGTGGCTCATGCCTGTAATCCCAGCACTTTGGGAGGCTAAGGCTGGAGGATCACTTGAGCCTAGGAGTTCGAGACCAACCTGGGCAACATGGCGAAACTCTGTCTCTCCAAAAACAGTACAAAAATTAGCCAGGCATGGTGGTGTACACTCCTGGTCCCAGCTACTTGGGAGGCTGAGGTGGGAGGATCACCTGAGCCTGGGGAAGATGAGGATGCAGTGAACTGTGATTATGCCACTGCATTCCAGCCTAGGCGGCAGAGTGACACCCTGTCGCAAAAATAAAGGAAACCCATCTTTAAAAATGCAACTTTTAGATAATGGGAATTAATAAACTATAATCAAGGCTTTGATCAGTAAGAGCCTTTTTCAGTTCAGGAAGTTGTAAGTTTTAGATAAACTACAAGATATTACTTTCATTTTATTTTTACTTTATTGAATTATTTTTATTTATATGTTTTGAGACAGTCTCACTCTGTGGCCCAGACTGGAGTTCAGTGGCGCAATTTCGGCTCACTGAAACCTCTGCCTCCCGGAGTCAAGCAATTCTCTTGCCTCAGCCTCCTGAGTAGCGGAGATTACAGGTGCCCACCACCATGCCTGGCTAATTTTTTCTATTTTTAGTAGAGTCGGGGTTTCGCCATCTTGGCCAGGATGGTCTGGAACTCCTGACCTCAGGTGATCCGTCTGCCTTGGCCTCCCAGAGTGCTGGAATTACAGGTGTGAGCCACCGTGCCTGACCAAACTATATTTTTTAAAGCTCGATTTTTTAAAATTTCAAGTAGAAATAAACCTACCAGTAAGAGTTCATTCATTTGTATCACAGTGTATCTTCCTATTTTAGGGTTATCTTTCCAGTTCAGCAGTGCAACTCTATGGAGTAGAATTGAAAGGAGACTTTCCCCAATTGCAGGAAATGGTCATAAAAAAATACCTGTTCACTGACAGAATAAAGGTACGTTTTAACTTAGCCAAATCTCTTTTGCATTGTTTTCCAATCTGTTCTTGGTTGCCATTGTATAGAAACAGATTGAATGATCTTAAATATTTTAAAACATTAACAGAGATGAATTGTGATTATATCCTGTTCACATATTTCTCTCTTTGCTGATTTTATTGGAAAGTAAAATTTTTTGAATTGTCTTCCTACCAGATACAGTTTTGGTGGCAGCATTTTTGAATCTCTAGAGGTTGATTAGAAATGTATTTAATCTCTGAATGTTGAAAATACATAAAAGGCCTAAGTAATGCTCACAATACCTCTTTTTCAGCAGGTATTGTGTATGCCACAGAATAGCAGTTCATGGGGGAATGATGCTATAGGTCAGGCTACAACAGAGGTTTTCTCTTTTTCCCATATTTAAGAAGAAAAATAACAAAAAAGGGGAAAGGAATTTTTTTGGTTAATGCAGTAATCTTTATCATTTCACTAATAGTTCTATAATTCTGATGGCAATGCAGAGAAATATTGAGTATCTCTGATGTCAAGTGCAATCTAATGTGGAAAGACATACCTCAGTAAGATTAAGGATGTAGTCTTCCCCCGCACTTTTTTTTTTTTGAGATGGAGTCTCGCTCTGCCGCCCAGGTTGGAGTGCAGTGGCGTGATCTCGGCTCACTGCAACCTCCACCTCCTGGGTTCAAGTGATTCTCCTACCTCTGCCTCCTAAGTAGCTGGGACTACAAGAGCCCACTACTACACCTGGGTAATTTTTTGTATTTTTAGTAGAGACGGAGTTTCACCATGTTAGCCAGGATGGCCTCGATCTGCTACCTCGTGATCCACCCGCCTCAGCCTCCGAAAGTGCTGGGATTACAGGCATGAGCCACCGCGCCTGGCCTCCCCTTTTTTATAGAAGGAAATTATTTGATTCCCTCCTCTTTTCCACCAATCTCTCTCTCCCCCAATTGCTCATATTAGAGGTAGAGAGACAAATGATCAGAGTAAATTCATTGTCCAATAATAAGTTCATGGTATTTTCTCACTATCCCATGTGTGGTGAACAATAATACCTTGCTCTTACATAAGAATCACATAACTAATAGAATCAATATAATTGAAAATTGAGATTTAAAAATTATGAACTCTTAAAAATCATGGTTTATAAATGGATAATCAAGTAATTTTTGTTGGTTTCTTTTTAAAGAAGATAATAATGGTGTACAAATCACATATTTACTTACTTTTTTTTTTTTTGAGATGGAGTCTCACTCTGTCACCCTGACTAGAGTGCAGTGACATGATCTTGGGTCACTGCAACCTCTGCCTTCCAGGTTCAAGCGATTCTTCTGCCTCAGCCTCCCGAGTAGCTGGGACTACAGGCGAGCACCACCATGCCCAGCTAATTTTTGTATTTTTAGTAGAGACGGGGTTTCACCATGTTGGCCAGGCTGATCTCGAACTCCTGACCTTGTGATCCACCCACCTCAGCCTCCCAAACTGCTGGGATTACAGGTGTGAGCCACTGCGCCCAGCCTTATTTACATTTTTGAAGATTTTTTTTACCCCTTTTCAAAGGAAAATATGCAGACAGACACCCATCCACATACTGGCTTGTAGCTTCTGTGGCCATCAGCAACCCGATAAAAACTTTTTGGCCAGGTGCAATGCCTCACGCCTGTAATCCCAGCACCTTAGCAGGCCGAGGTGGGAGGATTGCTTGAGGCCAGGAGTTCAATAACAGCCTGAAAAACCATCTCTCCCAAAAAAAAAAAAAAAAAAAAAAAAATTAGCCAGCTATGGTGGCACACACCTGTAAGTCCCAGCTACTTAGGAGGCTGAGGCAGGACTCCTTTAGCCCAGCAGTTTGAGGCTTCATTGATCTACAGTCATGCCACTGCAGCCCAGCCTGGATAACAGCTAGACTTTGTCTCTTAAAAAAATAAAACTCTGAGGCCGGCTCGGTGACTTACACCTGTAATCCCAGCACTTTGGGAGGCCAAGGCGGGCAGATCACTTGATGTCAGGAGTTTGAGACCAGCCTGGCCAACATGGCTAAACCCCGTCTTTACTAAAAATAAAAACATTAGCCAGGTGTGGTGGTGCCTGCCCTGTAATCCCAGCTACATGGGAGACAGGAGCAGGATAATTGCTTGAACCCGGGAGGCAGAGGTTGCAGTGAACTGAGATCATGCCACTGCACTCCAGCCTGAGCGACACAGCAAGACTCTGTCTCAGATAAATAAATAAGCAAACTTTTTTAATACCATCTTTTTTTGTTTTTTGAGATAGGGTCCTCCCTGGGCTCAGGTGATCCTCCCACCTCAACCTCCCAAGTAGCTGGGACTACAGGTGTGCGCCACCATACCTGGCTAATTTTTGTGTTTTTTTGGTAGAAATAGGGATGTACCACATTGCCCAGGATGGTCTTGAAATCCTGAGCTCAAGCGATCTGCCCACCTCAGCCTCCCAAAGTGCTAGGATTACAGGCCTTGGTCACTGCACCTGGTATTTATTTTTTTATTTTATTTTTATTATTTATTTATTTATTTATTTATTTTGAGACAGAGTCTCACTCTGTCGCCCAGGCTAGAGTGCAGTGGCACAATCTCGGCCCACTGCAAGCTCCGCTTCCTGGTTCACACCATTCTCCTGCCTCAGCCTCCCAAGTAACTGGGACTACAAGCACCTGCCACCATGCCCAGCTAATTTTTTGTATTTTCAGTAGAGATGGGGTTTCACCATGTTAGCCAGGATGGTCTCAATCTCCTGACCTCGTGATCCGCCCACCTCAGCCTTCCAAAGTGCTGGGATTATAGGCGTGAGCCACCGCGCCTGGCCGCACCCGGTATTTTTATACCACCTTATGACTTTTAGAAACTTTAACAGTTTCCTTCCTTGAAGCTATAGACAAATGGATTTGAGGGATCTTAAAATTAACAGAAAGGATTCTAGGATTGTTTTTTATTGTATCTGTTGAAATCCAGCTAGCCTCCAAGGTTCAATTTTTACTTTTTCATTTGTTTTTGTTGTTGTTTGTTTGTTTCTCTCCTCTCCTCTCTCCCCTCCCCTCCCCTCCCCTCCCCTCTCCTTTTTCTTTTCAACAGTCTTGCTCTGTTGCTCAGGCTGAAGTGCAGTGGCATGATCTCAGCTTACTCCAACCTCCTCTTCCCGGGTTCAAGCAATTCTTCTGCCTCAGCCTCCCAAGTAGCTGGAATTACAGGCATGTGCCACCAAGCCTGGCTAATTTTTGTATTTTTAGTAGTAACTGGGTTTCACCATGTTGACCAGGCTGACCTCAAACTCCTAACCTCAAATGATCCGCCCACCTCAGCCTCCCAAAGTGTTGGAATTACAGACGAGCCACTGTGCCCGGCCTGTTTCATCTTTTTGTATAGGGCTTTTCTCTGAATCCTTGGTTTTCTGCTCATACTTAAGAATGAGTAACAAAAAGGCTGATTGAAGTTCTGAGTGGGGATTGTTAACTGTGGACTTCACTATTGAGTGATCTTGCTGGGTAGTTTATTAGTTGGGAAATATCTAGTGAAATATCTTAAGATCTTTCCTCTTGGGCTGATCTGATTGCCTAGAAAAAAACCTTTCCAATCTTCTAGCCGAATAGCAAGCAGCATACTGGGAACAGAGTGGTAGAGCAAAAGGGTTGAAGAGGCAGGGTTCTCCGCATTCTGCGTGCATGTTTCCTTAATTCCCCGATTTGCAGTACGTTACCCTTTCCTTCAGCGAGGCCTGGAATCCCCTGGTTATCCTGTTCAACCCTCTCCAGAGAATAAACCTCTATTCATTTGCTGGAGTAGGAGAAAGGGAAATAGGGATCTGACTGTGTCTTAATCTGACTTTCAGCTAGATTCTCTTATTTTTAGCATTTCTCCCTACTACTTCATCCGGTACCACCAATTATTAGCCTTTTGGAGTTTCTGTAGCATAAGTCAGATTTGAGTCTTAGCTCTCAATATTTCTATCTTTGAAATCAATTTTCTTAGGTCTCCTAAATTCCTTATCACTTCTCCTTTTTCTCTAACTTAACAAATTTTTATATCTGTTATTCCCTTTCCCATTCTATCCATCCTTGAAGGTTTACACCTTCTTTTAAAAACCCCTATTCTGTCATTATAATGGGATTTCAGTAACGTACACGCATGTCTCTTACCCACTGTCTTTACAGGTAAGGCCTATGGATTGAAATTGTTTTTTCCCTTTTCTCCAGGCTAGAGGTAAACTTTCCCTCATTCATATCCCTGGTGTTAGCTTATTCCTTCGATGGCAGCTGTATGAACTTACTAATGTAGCTTTTTTAATCCCCTTACTAGATAACATATGTCAGAGTAAATATTGTGTCTCATTCATCACAGTGTATATCTCTGCACAGTATCTTGTGCATAGGAGGTGCCCATTAAATACTGGTTAAATTGATTGGAGCTACCTTGTGGCCTCTGCGTTGTTAGCATTCCAGAGTTTGCCCAGAGCTATTCCTTAGGGTTTTCCTGGGACCTTAGGAGCACCTCTGTGGGCTGCCTAATTAATTGATCCACCTGATTCTCTTTTACACTGTACAGTTGTGGGGTATGGGGAGAAAAGAGTGAACAGAGATGGAAAAGAAAAGGGGGGAATTGTTTGAGAGCTATGATGTATCAGGAAGTTAATTTACATGTCTATTTCATGTATTTCATACATGTTTCAAAAGTTTGAAATGATTGACTTTTTCTTTGTGTTGAGTAATATGTTTAGAGGCTCCAAGCCAACTTTAAATTTATTATTTTAGTTTTTTTTTTTTTTTTTTTTTTTTGAGACAGAGTCTTGCTCTGTTGCCCAGGCTGGAGTGCAGTGGTGTGATCTCAGCTCACCACAACCTCCACCTCCCGGGTTCAAGCGATTCTCCTGCCTCAGCCTCCTGAGTAGCTGGGATTACAGGTGCGTGCCATTACACCCAGCTAATTTTTGTATTTTTGGTAGAGACAAGGTTTTGCCAAGTTAGCCAACTGGTCTCGAACTCCTCA